TGATGAGAGCGACGTTCTGCAAAGGACCTGCTACATGATGATGACATACATCCAGTTTTAACATATGGCTGTGAATCCTAGACAATCAGTAGGCATGCCAAACAATTTCTTGAGGTCTCAGAGATGTGGTTTTACAGAAGAATGCTTAGAATACCTTGGACAGCCAAAAAAAGTGCAACCAAGAGATTTTAAAAGAGGCGGGAGCCCGAAGACAACTAATCACAGACATCAGAAGGAGACAGTCGTCATTTTTGGGGCATTTTATGAGAAATGGAAGGAGGGATAGAGGAAGACAACGAGAGAAGATTCTTGATAGTTTTGTTGCATGGCATGGAGTTGTGTCGTCACACGAACTGATGCATGCTGCAGGAGATCGCAGATTGTAGAGAGGTATGATCGCCCACGCCAGTCAGCATGGCACCCAATGATGATGAATTATGACCGCTTTTGTTGATAAGATCCTTTTGTTCTGTGTGCAAAGAATTAGTCCTGCAGACGACAGCCAACCACTGCATACTGCTCCTCGACGGACTGTGGAGCAAATTATTTGTGATGCAATTAGACTTAATAGACACCCTGTGTACATGTGTGTGTAGGTATACACATATATCTAGTATGTATGTGTGTTTTTATGTACGGCTATTTGTGTATGTTGTTCATATATATATATATATATATATATATATATATATATATATATATATATATATATATATATATATATATATATATATATATGTTTGTGTGTGGGTGATCAGACATATTCCAGTTTTTGAAGCTGATACTTGTGGGCTAGACTGTCTCTTCAGGACAATCGGGGTAAAGTGTCTGTCTGAAGGCCCTTTTGAGAACATTCCCAAAGTCTGTCTCTATCTCTTTTTTTTTTTTTTTTAAAGTATACCCTGCACACAATCATGACGTTTAACATGGCCACAATACCTCAACTTTCGGGACAGGAAGCTTTTTATGAGCCAGTTCTCCTCGATGTTCAGATAGGAAAGGCTGTAGGTGTTTTTATTCTTCTTGATACACAGGATTCTGATAGTTTCATTTCCTGCAGCACTTCAGTTCAAAGGCTATGAATTTATTTCCCTCAGTGACTAAGAGACAGCATTGTTGACAAAGCTAGGATGAGGGCAAACGCAAGGATCAGTCATAACACACCACACTGCTACTCTGCCCCTCATTTTTTTGCATCTGCTTTCTCAAGGTTTGGCAGATATCTAACGTTATATTCAACAAAGTAGCATACGTTCTATCCATCCTTGCCTGAGCATGTGATTGGCAGCTGACGGTAGACCAATGTGGCTTTGAAAGGTGCCCTGGACATGAACTCCATAAGATATCTTTTTTTTCAAAATATCCCGACACGGATACGAACCCTACTACGTCAAGGTGTTGACTGTGTAACCACTTCACTAACCTATAAACCATATAGCCGTACTAAAGCACAACTCATTTTTTTTTTAAATACGACATGTTACATGTTACATGTTTATCGCTTATGCTAGTTTTTTTTTTTTTTTTTTTAAGGAGAAACTATTACATCAACCCCGGTGAATACTCTTAGCTGCAGTCATAAAGCTAAATTTACAGTGCAGAAATCCGAAGAAAGGAATGTTTGGGTTTGTTTGAAATGCGTTTCTTTGTATGACAGAACTAAAGTGTCATTTCTTGAAATGTAATATATACATTCATAGTAGCCTGCAGAGAAGGGCGAGGGATGGAACATTGTGGGGAAAAAAGATAGAGGCAGACCAGGAAGTGATCTTTTAGTTGTGTGTCCAAGCATTGCAAACCTTGTCTGTCGTTCCTTTTAGTGTTAAATCCCAGCATACCATGTATGTCATTCTATTTAGCGGTGTATCTTAGCAAACCATGTATGTCTTTCCTTTTAGTTGTGTATCCCAGCATACCTTGTATGTCAATGCGTTTAGAGGTGTACCTTAGCTTACCGTTTCTGTCATTCCTTTTAGTTGTATATCCTAGAATATTTTACTCCTTCTGTCACTCCTGTTAGTAGGGTATCCTAGCATAGTTTCCTGTTTGTTATTTTTTATTTTTATTTTCGCATCCCAACATACCTTGTATGTCATTCCTTTGAGTTGTGTATCCTAGCATCGGATACTGTGTCTGTCATTGCGTCTAGTGGAGTGTCCTAGCATAACATACCTGGTCTGACATTCCGTTTAGTGGCGTATCATAGCATTTCTTGTCTGTCATTCGTTTAGTTCTTTTTTTTTAAGTGTGTGTGTGGTGTATGCCTCATACATTTTCTCTCATTCCTTTTAATTGCACATCCTAGCATAGCAAAACCTGTATGTCTTTCCGTTTAGTAGCTATACGATCATATCATACATTGTCTGTCATTCCTTTTAGTGGCTATCATATCACATCCCCACATTGTCTGTCATTCCTTTTAGTGGCTATACGATCATATCATACATTGTCTGTCATTCCTTTTAGTGGCTATCATATCATATCCCACATTGTCTGTCATTCCTTTTAATGGCTATCCTATCATATCATACAATGTCTGTCCTTCCTTTTAGTGGCTATCCTATCATATCATACATTGTCTGTCATTCCTTTAAGTGGGGTATTCTAGCAAAGCATACCTTAATGCGGCATATCTTCGACTGGTATTTCCTAGCATATCAAGCTCTGATTCGTCAGTGGCGTAACCCTATAGCATACCCAGATGGGGCTTACCCTGTTTAGGAATTCTCCTGATGGACACTCCTCTGTATATCATAACCTCTTGGGACATCCTTTGGAGAAGCATTCTTCTATATTCCCTAACCTGTTGAGGCATCTGGAGGGGTATTTCCTTATTTATCTTGCTTTGAGGTGGCAGGCTTGGGCATGTTACACGTCACTGGAAGCTCTTGCGTGACTGTGTGTCATGAAATCAGAGATAACCATGTCGCCCTGTGTGTTTCTTTTGTCAGCTTTTGCGTGAATGCAAATCTTCACCTGACTGTAGTGTTTCTTCTTCCGAACGTTTACCGGGTGTAAACTCTGATGGAATGTTTTAGTTTTTGGTCAACTTCTATTCTTTGAACTAGTTCCAGAACTTGAGATTTACACGCAGATCCGTTTTATAGATCTGACTTATTTTTATGGAGACTGTTGGTTCCTATTTTCTCATGCAGGTGGATTTCGGCTTACAAGGAAAGGCCTCTGATTTGTCGCCCTTTCATCGACACGCTTGGGGAGGCGGGGTGGGGCTGTGGATAAGATCTGGTCCATCCCACTACGAGGAATGGGGCTCTGGAAACAACACGTGGAGGTCATGACTGAGTTTTCATTTGACTGTGATTCTTCATATGACTGTGATTCTTGGTATGACTCCTACCCTTAACACGATTGTGAACCTAGAGATGACTGTGACCATGTCCCCATAGGACCGCATTCTGGGCGATTACCAACCGGTGACCCAAATGGTCACTATTCATATGAGAATCTTTCCGGTACAAATTCTAGAAACCTTGTTCAACCTTGTGGTTATACTGTCACCCCCCCCCCCTCCCCCAAACGTACACGAAGTAACCTGCAGTTCTGATAGGGTAGGGTGAACTCTGGGGTGATTGCGAAACCAGGGTGCAGAAACTCCACTTCTTCCAATCCCAGGTACCGGATATGGCGTGTCTGTGCCAGCAGGGCGGTCGAAGTTGGTACTTTCAAACCAATGTGGTACTTTTTTACCCTTGTAACACTGTCGGAATCTGCGGCTTAGGCGTTGCGAACGCGCTTCGTAATTCCGGGGTGCAAGATTACATCCCAACGGCGGACCTAGCGCCTTGCGTTGGTTTTGACAATGGTATCGAGAAGCCGACTGTCCAGAAAGCAATAGCAAACTATTGGACGTATATTTGCCTAAAAAACCACAACAGCTAAAAAATGATAGGGTTGGTTCTGCAGTGTCCTGTAAAGGATAGGTAAGTAACTAGTAGTAACACTGGCTTTTAGTATTATGCTCGATGTTTTGTTATGTTTCAGAAATTTTGCAACAATATGTTAAATTGTAGTGCTGTTTTGAACCTTTTTTTTTTTAATGTTATTTAGTGTCTTCTTTAAAGAAGTCCCTGATAAATGCGTTGAGAAGTTCGAAGTTATTGCTCCGGGACATTAGGTGAACCAACTGGAGGCCCTACTAACAGCTTTGTTACAAACTGAGTGTAAAAAAATCATACAAGAATGATGTAGTGGACAAACACAAAAACGTCAATTCTTATCAAATATAAGGTAAGCCAATGTTATATATGTATGAGTGTGTGTGTGTGTGTGTGTGTGTGTGTGTGTGTGTGTGTGTGTGTGTGTGTTTAGAGACGTCTTAACTGTGTTTTTTTTTTTATTTAACGAAACAAAATTGTGTACGTTTTTGTTTCATCTGGTACAGTTTTCGAATAAATTTGGTACTATTTACAAAAATGATTTCGGCAACCCTGTATGCTAGGCTGCCAAGTTGATAAGCTCTATCAGACACCTGCCAATTGACGTCTCAAGACACCCTTATCTCACCTCGTGTGCCCTCGTAGGACATTGAGGGAGATAAATCACACGTTTGTGTGACACAAGTCGTCTGTTAGGCAGGCCAGTACACTTAATTTCCATCTATAATTTTAGCAATCGAAGAAAAAATGCGGAATGTAACTGTTCAATATTAAATGGGATGCATTCAAGAAACATGAATTTAACAAAAGAGCAATGTCTAAACAATCAATGGTATCATCGGTTATTGTAAAGCGAAGAAGGTGCTATACAGTGCAGACCTGATGAGGAGAACTCACTGAGGGCTCAGAAAATACTTCTTACTAGAAGTTTCTCTTTTTCAGATAAGATTTCAAGACGGAAAAATTGATGGGGATAAACAAGTAGTTCTTCACAACAGAAATTCGCAATATCCGCGATCGCGGTAAGTGGTCTGCACTGTATTGGATACGTCATGGTAAGAATCACCAGTAAACAGTGTGAACGGATAGAGAGTCCCCAAACAGGCAACGGAAACAGTTAATCTCAACCCATACAATGGAAACGTATAGAGAATCTCCAAACAGGCAACGGAAACAGTTAATCTCAACCCCTACAATGGAAACGGATAGAGAATCCCCAAACAGGCAACGAAAACAGTTAATCTCAACCCCTACAATGGAAACGGATAGAGAATCTCTAAACAGGGAATGGAAACATATGGAGAATCTCCAAACAGTCAATGAAATGGAAAACAAATAGACTGAGAAAACAAGGACGTCTCATAGAAACCCTAAGAGGAAGTTGTTGATAGAGGTCGAAGCTGCTCGACTGGACCTGACATTGAAATGACAGCAAAGCATAAAAGGACGATGCACCGGAGTGATGATGGTGTGATGTTGATGATTCAAAGAACACTACTCATCATAGAGCATCAGGTTACCTCACAGCCGTTGGCTAGACCAATATTACTGTTAGTTGAACGGTTAAGGAAAGTAAACTATCCTGTTGGTTTCGCGTCCGAAAAGTGGTTCATTGAGTCATTTCGTGTCAATATTCATGAAAATTTAGAATAGGGAAGGAGAACGAACGAACGAACGAACGCAAAAATTTTTTTTTCAAAGGGGTACAAATTGGGCACGCAGGCCCGTCTGACATTCGGCTCTTCTAATTACTCATTTTTCAGATTACCAATACCTGTTATCAATAATGCATGTTATGGATTTAATAAAGAAATATAAATTATAGTATAATGCATACACACATCATGTGTACACAATCGTACACACTCACACACACACGTATACCATCTCCTATGTTCTCATACATGCGAACACATATACAGACATACATGATACACACACACATGCCTCTACATACATATACAAGCAAACACATACACTGACATAAATGCACAAACAGAAAACACACACACATATATTTATGGATATACATGCACACACACATTCCATACATACAGATCTATACATGCACCCATGCATACACACATTTACAATCACATGTACAGACACCAACATATGCCCAAAACCACGAGACAGAGAGAGAGAGAGAGAGAGAGAGAGAGAGAGAGAGAGAGAGAGTGTGTGTGTGTGTGTGTGTATGTGTGTGTGACAACACGCTCGGAGACTTCAGAATGTCTTTCCACAACTACTTTTTCTTTTATGTATTTTAAAGAATACCGAAAAATATGGTTATTGATATATCCTAAACCTAAGTAAGCGACCAGAACAACTCTACTTAATTCTCATGGACTGCTGGTGGTATCAAACACTGAAACTTTTTCCCAGATGTTAAGTGTTAAGGTACAGATAAGAATAAATAGACTGACCAGAAGTGGCACCAGTGAAAGTGAAAGCTCAGACTTTGTGGCTGGAGATTCTGCTTGCAGAACTGAAGTGTCAGATAATTATCTCCTAGCCAGATCTTTAGGAGCAGATAACCCTGGCTAATTGTGTGTATCTCCCCCTGAGGTTACCCAACTTGAGTACAGGTCAGATGGCCAGTATTGACATAGTCAGCTGGAGGCGTTAGCAGACCGAACATGGCAGGTTGAAGTAGGGGGAAGGTGTGACGTTGTTTATGAGCTTTGATCAGCTTGATGGACTAGGAGAATGTCACCGTGGGAATTCAAACAAGTCATGTACAGCCTTGACTGGCAGCGAATAGACTTACCCACGGGGTGGGGCTGTGACATCCTTGAATGAGAGTGGTTTTAGGAGTAATGTGGGAGGAGCTTAGAAGAAGTTATAAAAGGGTGAACTTTAGGGCTGGTAATTTGAGACTCTGCCAAGAGCACACCATCTGTTGGGCTTAAAACCTAAGCTTGAGACAAAACTTTTGGCATTGTGTTTTTATTTTCCAGGTAAGCGAAAATATGTACAAACTTTTATTTCGTGATAGAAATCTAACTGTCTTTTTGCTCGTGTGTGTCTTCATCACTTTGTAGTACTCCTTAGAGGACATTTATCCATTCTCGTAGGGCACTGTCACATTGCTTTATATCGTAATTGATAGTATCATTAATTTTTTTCGTGCACATGTGTTTCAGTGTTGTATAACTTAAATGTTGATGTTACCATTGCAATTTAATGAACTATCATTTTTCTAAAATCCCAAGCGTGAAGATAATTGTGGCAATCTTTTCACGTGTGTTTAATTTAAATATGTATTACTTACAGCTAACCCACTTAAATGTGTTTAACTCCCGGGAGGCTGATGCGGAGATTGATCCCGGAGAGTAAATCCCTGAGATTTGTTATTGATTCGCCCCAGAAATATTGCTAGCATTCTGGGCGCGTCCATTGTTCCAAGCATTGATTCCAGAACTTGCTCTGTCTAACTGATTGTAATTTTGAGTCTGTACGACAGATTACATCTGAAAAAGAAGACTTGACTATCATTACAGGACGTGAGTAGAGGAAGGCAGGAAATGTAACGGCTTCAATGTGAGACATAAGTCCTTCCAGACTGGACAGCAGTGAATATAAAAATGAGGGAGAGATGAGATGTTTTATTAGAATATACATGTTTGGTGTTATTATAACATACATGCTTAGTGTACATCTAGATTAGATATTACACATATGCGCTTGTTTCTTTACTACAGTTGCCATATTGGGCAGGAACTAGTAGGCATCCAGTCTTTGCCCACCGTCTGAGTGTAACGACCTGCTTTAAGCAGTAAGGCGACAAACTGGAAATGGATAGGCAGTGTCTCAAACCGAGAACTGTCCAAAGGTTTATTTTCTCCAATTATATAAATTAATTTCATCAATAACACCACCTCTACTAGCCTAAACACGTTCATTTTATTTTTGGTTAGATTTATTCAATAAATCGTGTTCATGTTGTTATAAAATAGTTGAGTAAATTGTGTACTTAGGTTCAAGTGTCTTTGTGCATACTAGTTCACTTCAGCTGATAAATATGTAAATCACTTGATGGGGGCTTTTAAGTAATGCCAGGAGAGGAGAAAGTCGGAGGGGTTAACTGTGTATATTGATATTATCTCAGTGGGTTCATCTTGATATCTATCTATCCCTTCTCCTACTCTTGTGGATACAAGTACAGCAACTTTCATTTAATGCAACGAGCCACTCGCTGTTTTCTTGGCTATCCAGGACTGTCTAGGATCAACATAGCCTAGACATTAGTCCAGTTTCTCACGTAGGTGGGCACTGTTAGGGTTCAAACCCATACACTCACTAATGAAGTGTATTTACCCACGTGGGCTCACGACAGAGAGAGAGAGAGAGAGAGAGAGAGAGAGAGAGAGAGAGAGAGAGAGAGAGAGAGAGAGAGAGGGGTGGGGGGAGAGAAGTTGTACAAACTTCAGAATATTTCCGGTTTTTATACAAGGAACACTCAACCATTTTTTTTTTCTGTGTTAAAAAGGGGGAAGATCGCTTCAGAATTGATTTAGCTTGGATTTCTTGTCTTCTGTTGTCATCTAAAAGTTGGGTCTAGGCTGGGCTATTTTCTAGAAACCATTGTGCTTGTACTCACCACATTGTGTTTAAAACAGGTGTCGGCTCTCACCGTTGGTAATTATTACATTAGTGCTGAAATAAGTTATACTTGATAAGGAGATGTCGGTACAAAAAAGTCCTAGGTCTAGAAATAAATGAATGAATGAATGAATGAACGAATGAGCGAAGAAATGAACATTATAATGAATGAAAGAGGGAACAGTCGAGGGAATGACCGAAATAATGAAGGAATGAGCGAATGAATGAATGAATGAATAAATGACAGTTTGCCTTTAGTTTTAAAATATGAGTGAGAGTCCACCTTCTTGTTGGCTTCCAACTCTCAGAAATGAGCCCAAGGTTTCCGGTTTTGTTTGATGTAGCGAGAGGACCGGCTCTGGCCAAAAATGGGTCACGTATGATAACCTGGGATCATCTGACACTGTCTAACTTGTACTTTTGTTCTCAGGTTTAAACGGCCCTCAGTCTGAACCAGAATCGGCAAATTTAACAACAGACATTCTGGGAAATCCTATTTTAACTTCCCTGTTATTCACAAACCCTTTGTATATGGAAGAGTGGTTATTTAGCAGCTGGATCGCATAAGGTATGTTTTAGCTGATTTCCTTGGTTAATTTTTATAGCAAACATTATATTTTTTTTTTCTAGATTGTTTGTTGGAACCATTAAGCGACAGACAGATTGACAGTAAGTAAGTAAATTTAACCTTACTAAGACATCACACAGAGCGATAAACACCCGATGACACAAAGCGCCACCATGCGGATGTGGATCACCCGTGGAGATGTCCCTTAAACCGAGTTCAGCCGTGAGGTTATATTGCGGCCCCCGGCAGTAGCCATGGTGGGGCTTCAAAATAACGAAAAATGGACCATGGTTAGCATGAAGACTGACAGATAAGATCCGTATTTTTTAACCCTGCAAGCCCCCACCCCCTCCCCTCCCCCCTCCCCCTCCCCACACACACACAGACACACACTCCGAGGAGGCGTGAGGACGTTTCCAAATAAGGTTACTTGAGATCATCTGGATTTTCAGCTTTAATAGACATAAAAACAAAACAGCGTTGCCACCTTGGTTTGGAGAAGAGTGATCTCCGTTGTGCCTTGTCCAGCGTCGGACCAAATATAGCAAATATAGTCAAGAACAAACAGTGTCAACCATCACATTGACATGTTGTCACTAAATTACCAGTTGTTGGTGATTGTTTCTTTTGTTATTTGACACTTTAATTTATGTGGATTTTGTTTGTTTTTTCTCTCCAAGTTCTTGTTAACAGTACTTGGGAATTGTTCTCACATGTACTCGTTGGGTTTTTTTTTTTTTTTTTTAATCACATTTTCTTATGTTTGGGAGGAAGGAAGAGCGGAAGGGGTATGTCATATACTAAAAGATAAAAACTACTGGTTAGGATATATGTTTTTTCTTCGAGTATGCAACGGTACGCAGGTCCGGCACCTTTATTTTATGCATCTGTTTTCCAGCGCTAGTGTAACAAACGTTATGGCGATTACGCGGGATTTTTGAAAAATGTTGCGGTAATTATTTCCTACCCCTCCACTCAACATGGTAATTATATAAACCTTACTGGGCGCAGCAGGAACATTCTCATAATTTACTTCGGTTTCCTTTGTAATTTGGCTTTGCACTGTTTACGCCCAGTCGTTTACCATAGTTCACTGGGAACAACTCACGAAGTTCGGCCCAAACAGACCACGATTGACCGTTTATTTATGTTCGTTGACCTTTGAC